GGCGGGGCACTCGCTGCTGAGTCTAGCCCAGGGGGAGCCACGGGCTGGCTGGGCTCCTGGCTGGTGTCGGGGCGGCGCTCGGCGTCGAGCTTCAGGAGGCCGCTGGCAAGCGGCGGGCTCGCGCTCTCGTCCCTCTCGGCCCGAACGCGCTCCAGCATTCTTTCCCATCGGTCAACATGTGTCTGATACTTGGCTTGCTCATCGGCTCCGCTGTTGCGCATGAGACGCTGAGTGTACTTGATGAGATGCTCCAGGACGACGGTGATGTCCTCGTCGTACCCGGCCGCCACGCTCTGCAGCGCGGAAGCGTCATCTGACCCCCCTTCATGAGCTGCGAGGTACAGCCCCAGCATGGCCTCCCCGGTGTTCTCTTCTTCGGGGGCCTTCCCAGGGCTGCGGGAGGAGCGGCGGAGGGCGGAGGAGGCCCGATCGCCATCCTCGCCCAGACTCCACCCAACGCCAAAGGGTGGCTTGGGGGAGCTGCTGCGGTCGAGCCTCGCCCAGTGCTTCTTGAGCTGCGCGTCCATCCCGTCCGAGATGGGCTGCGGTGCGCCACTGGTGTCGCCTGAGGCGCCAGCCGGATGCTGGCGCGCAAGTAGGTCGCCTCGGGCACGAAGCTGGGCCCACTGAGGGCGGCTGATCCCCTTGGCCTTCCCGCCCGCGGGGACTCCGTACCAGGGGCGCAGCTTCTCCCACGCGACTTTGCTCACGACGATGCCGTGCACGCTGATCCCCATCTCCTCCGCCCCGAGCGGCGGGTGGTGCAAGAGCTCCTCGAGGTAGCCGGCGGGGAGCTTGCCCTGGTCGCCGGTGGCAGGGGCGTGCTCGATCCCCGCAGTCTTGAGGGTCAAGCAGATTTGCTCGAGGTCTCCCGTGGGACGGCCCTTGCTGCGCGGCTCCTCTACGTCCACCACGGTCATGCTGCCGTCCCCCAGCGGTCCTTCCCTGGGCCTTGACTTGCCCAAGAACACGATCCACTGCGGGCCGGTTGCCCACTGCGCCCGAACTCGTAGCACCAGGTGGTCGCTCTGCTCGACTTCCTCGCTCGGGGCGGGGCTGGCGTTCCGCGGCAGCTGGCAGGCGGGCCCCGTGGCGTGGACGGCGTGTCGCGAGGGGACGGGCCCGGTGCTGCCTGCCCACGGTGGCTCTCAAGCCCTCGAACTCCGTCTGCTGGGGGGGCTGCTGCGGCAGGGGCGCCCGGCTCACGCGCCCGCGGGCTGCGGCTGCGGACCGCCCGACGCCTCAAGCCGGAGAAAAGCCCGCGGTTCTGGGTTGTAGCAGTGGCCTGCGCTGCTCTGCCCGCCTCTCCGCCCAGGTGAGAGAGACAAAATGGTGCGCCCTCAGCGTTGCCGACCGCCTGGCGGTAGCAGGTCACCTGCGAGCACTTGTCGCGATACCGAGAGGCCCGGTAGACCTGCGAATGATGAGCGCAAAGATGGGCGAAGGAATTCCTCCCGTCGCTGGGTGGCGGGAGATCCGAGGCTTGTCCGTCTTCCAGGAGCAGGGTGGTTGGCTCGGCCTCTGCGGCGCCGCGGCAACCGTCCGGGGCCAAGGGGCGGGCACCTCCACGAAGTACAATGCCCACCCGAACTGCCTCACATGGCTTGTCCTCGGCCTCCACCTCTGACTCAGACTCCTGATCGAGGACCTCTGCGACACTTCCTGCAACGCCTGGCTCCGCAGCGCCTGTCTTGCGACGGCGGCGTCGCCGGCAGCAGAAAGAGCAGCCACAGGACAAGATGCAATACGTGAACACAATGATCCTCCATGTGCCGCGCCCCAGATCGGTAGAGGCTCGCCAGAGTAGGAAGATGCCGCGGCAAGAGGTGAACTTGGCATGGGAGCCGATGTCCACGATCGCCTCGGAGTCCAGCGCGGCGTACTCTTTGCAATGGATTTCCCCCGGCTGATCCCGACAAGTCATGTTGCGGCACAGGTGGATCGAGCGGCCCTCGAGCATCTCCAGCTTCTGGCGGAGTGCGCGTGAACTGGCCCCTTTCACGCTCAGGTAATCCACCCAGGGGCCCGTCCGGTCGATCCGCTTGGGCTCCGCAAGGTCGATCTTCACGCGGGCGACATGGTCGTCAATCTTGACCAACACGTCGTTGGGCCTCCTCCCTGTCCCACGACCCTTGACCTTCTTGCTGTAGTATTCGGTGGTCGTAGCGGGTCCGGTCTCTGGCCCCGTCCAGCGGATCTGGGTAAGGGCCGGCGGGGCCGGCGGCAGGTACCTTTCGGCAGCTGCATCGCCAGGCTCTCGCCGGCGGCACTTGAAGCACCGCGCCAGAAGACCGATCAGCCAGAGGGCGGCGGCGCATGGGGCCAACAGCGTCCGACAAATGTGGGTGAGGAAAGCGAGCACCGCGAGGAAGGCCAGGAAGATGAACGTCCACGCCACGACGGGCCAGGCAGCTCCGAAGACCGTCAAGCCCAACTTCTCGAGGGCGTAGAAGGACCAGCCGCCGTCCTTGGTCAGCCGGCCCGTCTCGGCGTGGGTCGAGAAGGCGCTCCCGAGGCGGTCCAGCTTCTCGTGCGCGCCCCCGCCCATGCCGCTCAGGCGCCAGGCCCAGGTGCCTTCGCCCAGAGGCCTCCATCCCAGCGCCCAAACGCCCCAGCCGCCAATCCATGACTCCCCGTCACGAAGGCCGCCAGTGGCGTTGCTGCTGTTGTCGACTCCTCCGGCGGCGTGGGTGGGAGGCGGGGGAGGCGCTCCCGGCGGCCCGCTGTCGGGCGGCGCCTGGGTGCTGCCTGCAGCCTCACCTCCCTCCTCGAACTCGTCGGTCCCCGCGCCGTACTCGGAGTCATCGTAGTACGGCACGGTGCGCCCGGGCAGGGCCTCGCGGGCCTCGGCCAGGCTGGACCACCCGGCACGGGCCGCAGCGGTGCTGAGCGGCCCGCGCCAGTCGTAGGCGGTCGCGCCGGCGGCCAGCGCGACCAGCCCGCGTGTGGGGCCCGCCGGCGCCAGGCGCCAGGCGGCCATCGCACGCGCGCTTCCGGGCGCTCGAGGGGCGCCCAGACCTCCTGAGGTCGGCTCCAGGGCTTTGAGCCCCGAAGGCTTGAGCGGGAGAGAGGGAGAGAGAGGAGCAAGCAGAGGCAAGGGCAGGGAGAAAGAGGAACCCAACCGACTGGGGAGGGCGGGGTCCAACCGTTTAGGACAAACAACTAATGTTTCGCGTCACCCGTCGAGGACCGTAGGCTGTGGCCTCAACTATCGCGTTTTATCTCCAACGTTGGCACTGTCCCTGCAGGTGACCAGCTGCAAAGTATGATTGAGGAGGGGTGGATGATCAATGAGTTCGCCCGGGGTCTTCTTATTCGTAACCGGGTTCATAGTATGCCAGGGGAGGATGGTATTCCGTACTCGGCCTGGCGATGTGGCGCTGCCACTGTCGTCTTGTATGATTGCTATTGTGAGGTTTTTCGAAATCCGCATGGTAGGATCCCAGAAGACATGAATCGCAGCATCCTTGTCTTCCCTCACCAAAAGGATCCAAGACTTTGAAGTTGGCGAAGCGGTTTTTCGTGGTCCTGAGTCTACTCGGCCCTTGAGCATGGCCAACAGTGACGCGAAAATTCATTCGGCAGGAATGGCTAGGGTTCTCACCAACAAGATTGCATTGAAAGGCATCCTGCGGGCTCCTCAGGAATGTTTCAGTGGTCGGGACATGAAGGTGAACATACTTGAAGCCGAGCAGTTCTGGCTCGAAAAGCACTTGCGCGACCAGTACACACCTGGCCTGGTGATGACTGGTTTAGAATATGCCTTTCCTTCGATTGCCATGTCGTGGGTACTACATGTTCTTCGGTCCATGGGGATCCCCGACACGATCGTAGCGTTCTTCGTAAAGCTTTGCTCTGATAATACTGGCGTGGTCACGCTCTCGGGGCGACGCTTTGGAGAACTTGCCGTTGGAAGAGCAGTTCGTCAGGGGGATCCTTGCTCTATGTTTTTGCTTGTTTTGGCCATTGAGCCCTTCCTTACCTGGGTCCAGTGGAAATTGCCTGATCAAATTGAACTTTCTCTGGCATTTGCTGACGACTTGTGTTTTGGGATACGGTGCCTGCTGGACGGCGTGAGGCCTCTGTTCGATTGTTTATGTTGTCTGCAGGGGGCCATTGGCCTCGCGCTGAACTTTCGCAAATGCCAGATACTTCTTGTTTATGCGATATTGCATGATCGGTTGCAGGATCTTCTTGAGGAGATGGGTCACCCGTTTCCGCACCTTGTGATTGCAGTGCGGCTGAAGTACCTGGGTATTTGGATTGGCGAGACGGCGGACGAATGGGCGTGGAGGGAATGCATCACGAAACTGATGAAACGTAGCAGAAATAATGTTTTGGAAGGGCTCAGGATTATGAGGGTGCATCAGTTACATTGATTCGCGGCATTGAAGTCTCAAGAACGGCATTATGGCACGATTCCGGACCTCCAAGACACAACAATCAAACAGATCCGTGGCGCTGTGGCGTTGGAATCCCGAGAACAATGCTTTGGCATGCTTCAGGTTCTCCAAACGGCTGTCTTCCAAGGAGGCATTTCCCCCAATGGAAATGAACTGTTGTAGGGCCTATGAAGTGGGAGCTTGGAGGGAGGGTTTATTCCAACATCGTTGATGACTCTTGGGTTTACACTGGTCCTCCTCATCCTCCTCCTCCTCATCCTCCTCCTCCTCCTCCTCCTCCCCCGCCCTCCTCCTCCCTCGCCCTCCCGCTCCTCCGCAAGGACCCTCCCGAGACAACCAAAAAAAACCATTCAAACGGCCGAGAGGTGCCCAAGACGGCCCAGTACGGGACCAAAGCGGCACACGATGACCAAAGGGGGCCCCAAGAGAGCCCCCACACGGCCCCACAGGAGCCCAGGGCAGCCCAGAGACGGCCCAGGCAAGCCGCCGAGTTGGAGCCCCTCGAGGAATAGAGACGATAGGTGCCACATGTTATAGCTTCCAGGGCGTTGTCACACAGAGTGCTGCGCTGGCACGGTGGTGAAACTTGCCGCAGGCAGATGGATAGTTGAACGTGGTTCCAAGCACGACGTGCTGGTCGCTGGCACCCAAGCCCCAAAGCACGAGCGTCTGAAACGCATCCTCAAGCATCGCCAATGAAGAGGACGTGAGGTGCTGCCAGCTGTCCGTGACATCGCCCAGTACACTCTCGAGGGTCGTGATGCCGAACAAGCTCGCTGGGTGGAGAGATATGACAGCCTGACCGTGACTCGAAGCTTCCAAGAGTAAGCCCCCTGATTCTGATGGCAAGCCCTCCAGGCTGCCCACCAGCTTCAGCAATTCCTCCGCGGCAGCAGACTCCTGTTTAGTCACCAGATCGTCCACCATGTGCTGGAGGCTCGGCAAAGGGTTGCTCCCTAGCGCTGTGCCCTCCGTGCAGAAGGCCTTCCACTGATGTGACGTCTGACCACTAGGCTTCCTGCTGATGTACTGGTACAGAACCTCGGAATCCGCGACCGTGCCTCCGGGCATGGAGCGGGCGTGTTCTCAGGTGCTTGCCTGATCCCTGGAGCCCTTGTCCCCAGTTCTGAAAAGTTTTTGAGGGGCCCGGACCCAAAATTTCGAAATTTGGCGGAGCGTGGCGAATTCCCCCCTCTTGGCGCGTGACCCCTGGGCTACCCCGCATCGTGTCGCCGAAGGCCATTCGATACTTACTCCAGCAGGCCTCAGGTGTACAACCGCTCACACTGTAAGAGAACAGGAACGCCTCCTCCGACCCAAGCCCCGCCTGCCAGCACGCGCAGGACCCGCCCTCCTCGTGCGCGATGACAGTGAAGCCCTGACTGCCACTGGAGCTCCCACAGCTCACTGGGAAGGTCGACGTGAATGTGCACTTCTGGGTCGCGCAATTCTGTGTCTCCGAAGTTCCACCTGAGCACTGACTGCCACCCCATGCCGCATGAACTTGAATGCTGCGCGTGCGGGATTTGGTACCTGCGCCACACACGCTGCACTGCGGATTCGATGAGCTCCAAGCGCCCCAGCTTCCCCACTGGCAATGAATCGGCGGCGGTGTCGGTGCTGGTGTCGGTGCTGGTGTCGGAGCCGGAGTTGCCCGCCGGCGTGGCCACCACCCATACCCACCTGCGCGTGCGCACGAACATATTTTCATACCGCTACTCTCTGGACCTCTCCAAGTGTTCGTTCTGACGGAGAGATCTCGGGGCGAATCCAGCCGTGGCGATGAAGGACGGCTAGCGGAATTCCTATCATGTCCTCCCCCGAGCCTGAATCCGCCCTCCGGCGCCCCCACCACATCGAGTCTGCCGAGTCATGCGCTCGGAACTCCTGGCCCTCATCGAGCTCACCGCCCTCCACCGCATGCCGCCTCATCATCGCCAGTGATCCCGCGCGGTGGGCCGCCAGATGCACACGGCCCGCCCCGTGCTGCGCCGCGGGCTGCGAGAGCCTCTCTGGATCGGCCTCGCCGTCGTCCGCCAGCTCGTCGTCCTCGCTCACGTCCGTCTCGATCAGCCCCCCGTGCGGGTTGACGACCACGCGCTGACCCGTGCCTTGCCCCACGGTTGCATTCGCCATGGGCAGCCACTCTGGGCCCTCCCCGTCCACGTCCGTGTCGAGCATACCCTGCGAGTCGACGGTCACACGCTGGGTCGTGCCCCGCCCTGCGTTTGCGTCCGATTGGGACAGCCCCTGCAAGAACGCGAGAACTGCACTCGCGTTCCGCCCCCCGCCAACACCGCCCGCATCCACCCAGGTCTCCTCCTGCGTGCCCGCTCGCGCCGTCATAGATGCCATGAAAGACATCACCGCGACCATCGCAAGCTGCCCCATCTTCCTTCTAGCCACGTGGTAGCGTGGCAGGGGGTCAGAATTATATCAACTGCCCAAATGCCAGACTGGATTGCACAAACAACGGAATAGTGGTCTTGGGCCAACAGGGTACGGAAGCTCCACGACGACAGCCGATGTCACAGCGGCACTCCATGAGCCCCTGGGGAAAAACATAACAGGTCTGTCAACATGACAATGCAACCCCATGGAATCGACTAATGATGAGAGTGAGGGGGCCGAACGGTCTTACACCATCCCTCGGCCCGTAGGTGAAAAGGGATTCCGTGCCCCAGGCTATGCTTGATTGGTGTTGGACTCTTATTCCTCCCTGACAGAACTCTTGCTGGGATCCTCGCGATACAATTGTAAATCGCAATTTTGCTCGAGACTTCCTCGCGATTCATGCAGGAGTGACGCTGCAACGACCCGCCCGCTCGACCCGGCCGTCTGGGCCCGCCCGCCCGACTCGCCCGTCAGGATCCGCCCAGCCAACCCGCCCGTCTGAATTTGCCGCTTGTGCTCTTGCTCCTAGCCCCCCTCCGGATCATCTCTCTCGTGCTCCGTCAATCCCCCTCCCCCTTTTCCCGTCCCTCCTGCCTCCCCTTCCCTGTTCTAGGGGCTGCGCCAATCACACGTGGCAGGTAAGGCCCAAAGGGGGGTACAAGCGGAGGAGACAGGGCGGGTATCGAGGGCTCGGGATGTACATGTTGAGTGGCACACAAGGAGGTAAGAGCGAAGAGTCTTAAACTGAGTGTTGTTGTTGGTGATGTAAGTATTGTTGTTGGTGCTGTTGATGGTAAGATTAATGTTGTTGCTAGTTGCGTTGTTGCTGCTGTTTTTCCCCAAACAGCTTGCTGAACGGGGTTTTGTTGTAATAAAAGCGAACTCTGGCCGAGGGAATTCAAAGCAGAGACGTCCTCAACAAAATTTGGTAGTCCGGGCCGTTTCGCCTAAGACATCCTCGCAACTCTCGTTTATGAGCTGTCCCGGATTGGGCGTTTCGCGTGAGACATCCTCAAAACTCTGAGTTCGCAGACGCCGTGCAAGAGGTGGTCCGGCCCGTTTCGCCTGAGACTTCCTCGAATCTCTGAGCTCCCAGACGCCGCGCGAGGTGGTCCGGCCCGTTTCGCCTGAGACATCCTCCAAACTCTGAGCTCCCAAATGCCGCGCGAGAGGTGGTCCGGCCCGTCTCGCCTGAGACATCCTCCAAACTCTGAGCTCTGAGATGCCGTGCGCGAGGTGGTCCGGCGCGTTATGCCTGAGACATTCTCGCAACTCTGAACTCGGAAATGCCGCGCAAGAGGTGGTCCAGCCCATTTCGCCTGAGACATCCTCGAAACTCTAGGCTCCGAGATGCCGCGCAAGAGGTTGTCCGGCCCATTTTGCCTAAGACATCCTCGCAACTCTGCGCTCTCTGATGCCGCGCGAGAGGTGGTCCGGCCCGTTTCGCTAGAGACATCCTCCAAACTCTGAGCCCCGAGATGTCGTCCAAGAGGTGGTCCGGCCTGTTTCACTTGAGACATCCTCGCACTTTTGCATTCCGAGATGCCGCGCGAGAGGTGGTCCAGAACGTTTCGTTTGAGACGTCCTCGAAACTCTGAGCTCTGAGATGCCGCGCGCGAGGTGGCCTGGCCCGATTCGCTTGAGACATCCTCGAAACTCTAAGCTCTGAGCTGCCGCGCTCGAGGTGGTCCAGCCCATGTCGCCTGAGACATCCTCGCAACTCTGACCTCGGAGATGCCGCGCGCGACGTGGTCCAGCCCGTTTCGCCTGAAACATCCTTGCAAATCTGAGCTGAGATGCCCTGCGCGAGGTGGTCCGGCCCGTCTCGCCTGAGACATCCTCGCAACTCTGAGCTCCCAGATGCTGCGCAAGAGGTGGTCCAGCCTTGGGGCCCAGAAGACCACATGTTACAGATCCCCCCTGGGACCCTGGAAGCCCCAGGAGGCCCCAGAGAGCCTCAGGAGGCCACAGGACGCCCAGGACAGGCCCCAGGGGTCCCCAGGAGATTCGCAGGGGGCTCCCAGGAGGCCCCAGGAGGCCCCCTATCAGAACGTGTCAAGTTAGTACACATCCGGTGTCGACTCGTTGATATTTCCTGCTCTTGTGGCCCCCCTCATTTTGGGGGGGCCCGACGGCCACATGTTAGATATCCCCGCCTGGGAGCCCCAAGAGGCTTCAGGAGGCCCAGGAGGAAACCCCAGGAGGTCCCCAGGAGGCCTCAGGAGGCCCCAGGGGGCCCCCGCAACTCGGAGCTCTGAGACGCCACGCTCGAGGTGGTCCAGCCCGTTTCGCCTGAGACTTCCTCGCAGCACGTTTCGCCCGAGACATCGTCGCAACTCTGACCTCGGAGATGCCGCGCGCGAGGTGGTCCAGCCCGTTTCGCCTGAGACATCCTCGCAAATCTGAGCTGAGATGCCCTGCGCGAGGTGGTCCAGCCCGTCTCGCCTGAGACATCCTCGCAACTCTGACCTCTGAGATGCCGTGCGCAAGGTGATCCGGCCCGTTTCGCACAAGACATTCTCGCAACTCTGAGCTCCCAGATGCTGCGCAAGAGGTGGTCCAGCCTTGGGGCCCAGAAGACCACATGTTACAGATCCCCCCTGGGACCCTGGAAGCCCCAGGAGGCCCCAGAGAGCTTCAGGAGGCCACAGGACGCCCAGGACAGGCCCCAGGGGTCCCCAGGAGATTCGCAGGGGGCTCCCAGGAGGCCCCAGGAGGCCCCCTATCAGAACGTGTCAAGTTAGTACACATCCGGTGTCGACTCGTTGATATTTCCTGCTCTTGTGACCCCCCTCATTTTGGGGGGCCCCGACGGCCACATGTTAGATATCCCCGCCTGGGGGCCCCAAGAGGCTTCAGGAAGCCCCAGGTGGGGTCCAGGAGGCCACATGAGGCCCAGGAGGAAGCCCCAGGAGGTCCCCAGGAAGCCCCAGGAGGCCCCAGGAGGCCCCCGCAACTCGGAGCTCTGAGACGCCGCGCTCGAGGTGGTCCAGCCCGTTTCGCCTGAGACTTCCTCGCAGCACGTTTCGTCCGAGACATCGTCGCAACTCTGGGGTTTGAGATGCCGCGCGCGAGGTGGTCCAGCCCGTTACGCTGGAGACATCCTCGCACCTCTGGGCTCCGAGATGCCATTCGGGATGAAGAGCAGGTGGAGGAGGAGGAGGAGGAGAAGAAGACGGCATGTTCTAACATGCCATGCCAGCCCGCACTGGACGGGCACGCAATCGACCTTGGAAACCGCAGTGGGTTTTAAAACCCTGTTTGGGGATACTGTACTCTGGCTATAATGTTCATTATTGTTGGTGTTGTTGATGCTGTGGTTGTTGTTGTTGTTGTTGTTGTTGTGGTTGCTGTTGTTGTTGTTGTTGAGCTCGCACTCTTGCAAACACATTCGGGTTGTGTTCCCTCTCCAATTCACCTCGTGTTTTCTAATTGATGCTCCCCTCCCGGGGCTCGCACCTGATTTTTTCCAAGGAAAATTCTTCGGCCTCAAACTATGCCTCTGGCCCCTGGCTTACAAAAAAAACAACGGCTTCCGCCCGATACCCCGAATCGCGCTTCCGCGCGGGATTTCCCCAGTCTATCCAGGGATTGCGCTCTCGCGCGGACTTCTTCGCTATCTATATATATATATATATATACATACATACATACATATATGTATATACAACAACATACATACGTACAAATACACATACATACATACGTACATACATACATACATACATACATACGTGTGTGGAAGAGCCGCGAGCTCCACCGAAAGCCCCAGCGGCCGCGGCCACAATTCGTGACCTCCATAAGCAGGCCCATCACAGGTCACGGTGGCCGCGGCCGCGCTTCGTGACCTTCATACGTGCTCCACCGAAGACCCTATTGACCGCGGCCGCATGCGTCGCTCCCACCCAACACAGCGCATCGTGGCCCCATACAAGGCTCCACCGAACGCTCCAGTGACCGCGGCCGCATGCCCTTCCCCCGCCCAGTCCAACGCTTCGTAGCCGCACAGAAAAGGCTCCGCCGAAGGCCCGCCCCACTGGCCGTGGCCGCGTGCGTCCCCCCCATCCACTCCAACGCTTCATGGCCGCACAAGGGCTTCCACCGAAGACCCCAATGGTTGCGGCCGCATGCGCCCCACCCGCTTAATTCACCGATGCGTGGCCGCATATGGGGGCGTTACCAAAAACCCCAGGGACCGCGGCCGCATGCGTTTCCCCCTATCAATTACGACGCACCACTCACGCGATTCGTGGCCCCACAGGGAACTCCACCGAAAGCGGTATCCACAACGCGGCCCGCACAACGTCGGGCCCGTAGCCAGGGTAGTTTACAAGAGGAAGTCCAGCGACTCAGACTGGGCCCCCCTGGCCCACAGCTTACAACAACAACAACAAATGTTTGAAGACTGTTCGCTCTTATCTGCTCGCGCGTCACTCAACATGCACACCTCGATCCCGCGAAACCTGCGATACCCGCCCCGGAACAACACGAAGTATCCCTTATACTTGAATCTCACCAGCGGCGTTAGCCCAATACCTACCCACTGCGCATTCAAAATCGCGCTCTCGCGTTGGACCTCCTCGCAAAGTATAGAAGAATCGCGCTCTCGCGTTGGGCTTCCCCCGATGTACTGATGCGCCGTCATTGAAACGCCGCGGTCAAAAAAACACGCAAGAATCACGCATTCGCCCTGGGCGTGCGTTTTACGTGGGAATCGCGGCGTCGCTCGGGACCCCCTCGCGATCCATGCAGGACTAATGCTGCAACGACCCGCCCGCTCGACCCGGCCATCGGGGCCCGCCCGCCCGACCCGCGCGCCAGGGCCCGCCCAGCCGACCCGCCCGTCTGAATCAGCCGCTTGCGCTCTTGCGCCAAACGCCGCGCTGTCTAATCATCATGCTTTTCCCTTGCCCCGTCTCTGCCCCCTCCCTTCCCGTGTTCCAAGGACTGCGCCAACTACGCGTGGGAGGTAAGGAAGCTACACCGTCGATGGGGACTACGACTGAAGACGAAAAGTGCGGGCACCGAAGGTTTTGCACGCACGCGCTGTAAGACAAAGGGGCTAGGAGCGAAAAACATGAACAGTATA